AGTGCGCGGGGGAAGATATTCCCATATAAAAGCAAGGCGCGGGCCCCGGGAGGGCCTTTTTTCCCGGAGAGAAAGGGAAAATCAACAATATATATAATAAGCAACGACAGCAGCAGCAGCAACAGCAGCAGCAGCAGCAGCAACAACAACAACAACAACAACAACAACAACAACAACAACAACAACAACAATAACAATAACAATAACAATAACAGCAACAACAACAACAACAACAGCAACAACACCCAATTTAAACCTGTTCGTGTTTGTCTGCTCGCGTGTCATCCAATATGCATATCCCAAACCCTGGACACCCGCCCTGTTCGTTTTCGATCGCACCTCTTTTTTGGGGGTAGATTCATTCCCTGCCACGCGTGGTTGGTGAAGCCTTTGAAAACGAAGGACAACAGATAACGGGGGAGAATGAAGACGAAGGGACCGGAGGAAGGGAGGGGAAGGGCCAGAAGGAGGGCGGACGATGATTTGCGCTGCGAGCGGCGATTCAGATTGCGCCATGGCTTGCGCCAGTCACTCCGACGCAGGTTAACAATAAGTTTCGCCATGGGTCGCGCCATATGCAGCGCCGCGTAAAGCCCCTTTGAAAGAACATATCGTACGGGGGGGCGTACAGTTGGGAACTGGTGTCAGTAACAGGTTTCGTGGTGGGGCGGAAGGATAGTGAGAACTGCAACTGCGTCGAAAGGAGCGCGGGGATGTGGAGTGGAAAGGAGTGGAGAAGAGGAGCCGGAAGGAGTGCGGAGGAGCGGGCGGCGCGCGGAGGAATCTGGAGGAAGGACTGGGAATAATTTGGGAGAAATGCGGAATGCGAGCGGAAAGGGGTGGAGACTGTTGGGGTGGGATGGGGTGGCCTGGGGAGGAGTGGGCGGCATGCGAAAAACTGAAGAATAGCACAATGGAGAACGAACGAAATGAAAATGATGATAAAGGGAAAGAGAGGAGAAGGCTGGGAAAGAACATTGAAAAGTGGGGGCAGGTGGATACGAGCGGAGACTGGTGCGGAAACAAGGCGCGGGGGGATTGGAAGGCACCCGAAAGCCTCCTATGACCTCTGGGGGGCTTCGGAATGGCCCCGATGACCACCGAGCAGTTCCAGAGGCCATGAAGGGCGACAGCGGGGCTACGAAGGGCATGCGTATGCCACGACGGGCGACTGCGAGCGCGGGCCACGAAGGGCATAGAAAAAGGGGCCACGATGGGCAGCGACGGGGCCACTGAGGGCAGCAACGGGGCCACGAAGGGCAGCGAGCGAAGGCGACCGCGGAACCAGTACGGGCAGCGAGGGGCATCGAAGGCGGGCGAAGGGCAGCGACCGGCGACTGCAGTCCCTAACGGGCTGGTCGGGCGGGCAGGCCCAGACGGGCGGGTCGAGCGGGCGGGTCGTTGAAGCGAAAATTCTGCTTGAACCGCCAGGCAATATGTAGCGGGAGCGCGATTCCTGAATGCCGATGAGCGGCATCTGAATAAATTGTCAGGAAGTATCAGGCGGGAGCCGCGATTCGGTAGTAAGTTGCGAGGAAGTCCCAAGCGAGAGCGCGATTCTTCAATCAATTGTGAGGAAATATCAAGCGGGAGCCGCGATCCGGTGGTAAATTGCAAGGAAGTCCAAAGCGAGAGCGCGATTCTTCAATAAATTGTTAGGAAGTGTCACGCGGGAGCCGTTGTTGTTGTAAACCAGGGGCCAACAACGCAGTTTGACCCTCAAGATATTCTCTGATGAAAAACCGGGTGCGAGCCCCGGGAAGGGCACTTCAATAGAAAAAACAATGTGCACCGGACAGGGGGGATCAACAATAATTATTCTTCAGAAGTGAGAGTTCAACAAAAGCAACAACAACAGCAGCAACAACAACAGCATCGGCATCAGCATGATCACCCTCATCAGCATCATAAACAGAAGCAGCATCATCATCAACACTATCATCACCAGCATCATCATGATCATGATCAATGACATCATAATCATCAGCAGCATCTTCATCAGCCGCAGCATTATTGTCATCAGCAGCATCACAAGCGTCATCAGTATCATCAGCATCATCATTGTCGTCATCATCATCAGCAGCAGAAGCATCGGCGCTATCATCATCATCATCAGCATGAGCATCATCACTATTAAATAATCATCATCATCATCATCATCATCAGCCTCATCATCGTTGTTGCCACCATCATCATCAGCAGCAGCATCTCCATCTTCTTCATTGTCATCATCAGCATCGCAACTATTAACATCAGCAACATCATCATTATCCCCAGTATCTTCGTCGTAAATAATGAGATACAGAATCATCATCGTCACTACCATAGTCGTCATCATCATCAGCATCGTCAGTATCATCAGCATCAGCGTCATCGTCGGTGTCCATCATCAATATCAGCAGCAGCATCCTCCTCCTCCTCATCATCATCAGCAGCATCAGCATCCTCCTAACCGTCATCAGCATCATCATCATCATCATCATCACCATCACCATCATCAGCATCAGCATCATCATCATCACCATCACCATCATCGTAATCATCGCCATCATCATCACCGTCATCATCATCGTCAACACCATCATCGTCATCGTCATCATCACCTCTGCTCTTCTCTCATCATGATCATCATCACCATCACTATCGTCATCATCGTCATCATCGTCATCATCATCATCGTCATCATCCTCATCATCCTCATCAGCAGCATCATTAACATCATCACCATCATCATCACCATCGTCATCATCACCATCACCATCGTCATCATCATCATCACCATCATCATAATCATCATCACCATCACCATCACCATCATCAGCATCATCATCATCATCATCATCATCATCATCATCGTCATCATCATCATCATCTTCAACCTTCTCCACCTCCAAGTCCTCCTAGACACTATGTTAGGGGCGACAAACAGCCTTTTCGACGGTGCATGCAAGGTTGCCACGCAGAGTACTTCGCTGTCACGGTGGCGGGATTTACCGCAAGCAGCTGGACCAGAGACGGGTGGCTTCTGTAGCAGCACTGATTTCGCTTTCATTGATGTGCGCCGCTTGCAGCATTGAGGACAGCACAATCCACCCCCACTCCCAGCCAAGACCCCCACTCCCGACCTGGTGATCCAGGCGCTCATGGCTGGCAGTGGGGGTGGCTTTGGGGGGCTCTCGAGGACCCCAAAAAACACCCCCACCCTCAGCCAGGAGCCCCTGGATCACCAAATCGGGAGTGGGGGTCCTGGCTGGGGATGGGGGTGGGCTGTGCTGTCCTCAAGCATACAGCTGGCAGAAGGACGAGGAGACGAGAGGAGAGGGAGAATACGTAGGAGAGGGAGCCACGGGGAGCAGGGAGGCAAGGAAGATTTTGAGGAACAAACGAACACCGCTGCGGACAGACACAGCCAAGACCAGGTGGATGAGGCCGTAGCCCGTAGCCTGTCCCGAACCGCACGAGCCAGGGCCGCCCCACCAATCGGCTACACGCAAGAGTGACCGAGAGAGCGTGATCCACCGCCGCTTTACTGTGGAAAATTGCCAACCTTTTCCTCCGGAACCCGGGGGTCGCACCCCCCCCCCCCCCCCCTCCGTATTTCCACCCACCCCCCCCCTGCTGGAAACCCCTCACCCCCCCACCCCCCCCCCCCACCCCCCCCACCCCCCCCTCCCCACCCCCCCCCCCATACCCCCACCCCCCCCCTTCCCCGGCAAAAACCCCCCACCCCCCTAACCCCCCCCCCCCCCCCCCCCCCCCCACCCCCCCCTCCGCTCGGATAAACCGGGGGGGGGGTCACTTAGCCGGTTCGAACCCTCCCACCCCCCCCCCCCCCCCCCCCGAACCGGGAAAATACTGGGGAGGGGGGTTCACTACTGGTTCGATCCCCCCCCCCCCCTCCCCCATTTCACGCCAGCAAACGACTCCCGGTCCCCACCACCGTCCGCATCACATCCCCACTGGTGTTCCCAGCACCACTGTCCTCACCACCGCTGTCCCCACTGGTTCCACCACCGCCCCTACTGTCCCCACCAGTGGCCCCACCACTGTCGCACTGTCCCCGCTGTCCCCAGAACTGTTCCCACCACGGTTCCACTCTCCCCACTGTCTCCACGGCCCCAACCACTGCCCGACTATCCACACTGTCCCCACTGTCCCACTGACTCCTCCGCTGTCCCACTGAGCTGTCCCTCTGTTCCCACCACTGTCCCCACTGTCCCCACCACTGTCCCCACTGTGCCTCTGTCCCATTGTCCCACCGCCGTCCTCGCCACCGCCTTCACCACTGTCCCCACCACCATTATACCCTCCACTGTCCCACTGTTTCCACCTCATTTCATTTGTCCCACCTGCCCCCACAACCACGTCACACCACTGTCACTGTACACCCATTTTCCCTCCTTTGTCCCATCCACCACCGTCCCCACCACTGTCCACTGTCCCACTGTCCCCACCACTGTTCACGGCTATTCCCCTCACCGATGTCCCCTCCGCCACCGTCCCGCCACTGTTCCGCACCCCCACTCGGGTTTCGATGGGAGGGGGGTTCGAACGGTAGTGGACACCACCCCCCGGTTTTCGGATCCGGATGGGGGGGGGGGGGGAGGGGTTCGAACTGGTAGTGAACCCCACCCCTTTCCCCCCTTTCATGATGAGCAGGGGGGGGGGGGTAGGGGGGGAGGGGGTGTGAACCGGTAGTGACCCCCCCCGGTTTTCCGGATCCGGAGGGGGGGGTGGGGTGGGGGGAGGGGTTCGAACCGGTAGTGACCCCCCCCGGTTTTCCCGCCAGCAGCGGTAGAACACGCTCTTTCGAGTGACCCCAGGCAAGAGTGACCTTTGGTGCGGGGCCTGGGGCGAGCCGCGAGGGGGGGGGGGGGGGGCAAACCCAAGCGATCGGGGGATCCGGCGATCGCGCGCAGCCCGCACCAGAGGTCATTCCGGCAAGAGGTCCTCCTACGTGTAGCCCACACCGGGCCCAGAGCCTGGCGGCCCGCCCCGGCCTCGGCCAGGCTGGCCTCGAGCTCCTGCCGCAGCCCGTCCGCCTGCGCGGCGCGCCCGCGCGCGGTGCCCACGGCCTCCTGCGCGGCGTCCGCGGCCAGCCGCGCCTCCTCGCGGAGCTGCTGGGCCTCCCGCAGAACCCGCTGGTGGCTCTCCTCTCGAAGATCCTCAGAACGTGCGGAGAGCGCAAGACTCGGGTTCGGGGGGCTCGGGCTGGCCTGACGGGGACATCATGAAAATGACGAGACCCAATCTGAAATTCGACGCGAGCTCCCACTGCAACCATTCCACGAAAACTGGACCGTCAAGATATGGGGCGGGGTCGTCAAAAGATGTAGGCAAACCCGAGTTCTGGCGAACTCGAGTCTTACGTTTCCCCGACTACACCGTTAGCGACAGCGAAGCCCTTCAATACGGCGAAGGTGGTGTGACGAGCTAGCACAGGCAGAACGGGGTAACACACATTAGGCCACACGTGATGAGGATCATCGATCCTCGTGCGCCGAGTCCCCGGCCGCGGCGGCCAGCCGCGCCTCCTCGTGGGCCTCCCGCAGGGCCTGCCGATGCCTCTCTTCCTCTGGAGCAAGCAAAAGCGGCGTAGGCATAAGCTTACCGAGGTCCACGCGGACTTCTTGCATCGGCGCCGGAGGCGCCGCCAGGGAGGCCAAGCGCCGTTCCAAGATGTCCGCGCCGACCTCTGGAAGTTGATGCTTCTGCCGTTTTCTCCTCCCTCCGACCTGCACGTCGCGGAGCCGCTGCGCCTCGCGCGCGGCCTCGCGCACGGCCTCGCTCCTCGCCTGCTCCAGGTCCGCGGAGGAGAACGCGGGCTGCAGCAGCAGCTCGCCGCCGCCAGGGGCGAGCAGGCCGATCCAGCCCCCGTCCCGCACCCAGTCGCCGTCGGGCTCGGGCGGCCGTGGCCCCAGGGGTCATGGGCGCGGGCCGCCCGTCTCTGAGCCCCGGGAGGCCCACATGCCTGGGCGCTGGCACCGCCCGGGGGCCCCGGCCCAAGTTCGGCGACTCCGAAGGGCGTGGTTTGCTCCGCAAAAGGTGCGACTTGCAAGGCGCATCTTGGGCGGCGGGCGAGGACCTCGACGGAGCTCTCCGCCGCGCCCCGAGGAGAGGCCCCACCAGGGCAACGTGGTGCCCCAAAATCGGAACGACGCGAATCGGAAGCCACACGCACCGTGACCACACCCTGTCTAGTCGCCGACAATCGAGAGAAGGCCACGGCCCTAGGGCCACGGATTCCCAGGCCCATAGCTGCCCCTTGCCGCAAGGCGCCAGCTGACCAGGGCACTGTGCGAGGAGGGGTCCACGCTGCGCCTGGTCACCTCCAGCAGGGTGCCTGCAGGCAGCGATTCCACCTCTAGGAGCAAAACGACGAGCATCAATTCAAGCGGACGGCGGCCTTGAGCGAGGGCTGCAGGGAAATCTGAACGGCGCAGCATTCAACAGGCCTCGCACTGGGGGTCTGGTCTTTGCTCCAGCAGCCCTCTGACCCAGGTAACCATCGCAGGAATTTGGTCGTGCCGCCCTCTTCTGCGCGCTGGACCTGGCTGCTCGCGGGGTCCGCAGTCTTCCGCACGACGATGGCGCCTGTGGACGCGTACGCCTTGCCCAGGCAGACGCTCGAGGCAAGAGCGCGCCGCAGCTCGGCCTGCAGGTCCAGCTGCGGCGCGGAGGGCTGGGGAGAGGCCGTGCCTGGAGCCTGCGCCGGGCCCGCAGCGGCAGCTGCAGCTGCGCCGAGTGGCGCGGCCGCCCCCACGCTCAGCCCCTGTCCAGCTGAGGCGGAGGCCAGCGCGCCAGCACTGGGCGGCGGCGGCGGCGGCTGCGACGAGACCGTCGGGAGCGGCGGGACTCCGAGGAGAACGCCAGACAAACACCGCCACCGATCCAGGCCGGGGAGCCCTCTTGGGCCCAGGACCCGTGCGCGCGCGCGCCCCCCTGGTCGCAGGGAGAGAGCACGCCGTGGCCCAGGATGAGCAACGCTTAACCGATCCCCATGCCCACTGGCATGGCCTTAGCCCCGCTGGCCGATTTCCCCCCTTGATGGGGATATGTGATGTTCCCTTCAGGTTTCGCGGAGCCCATCCCCAACTGGGGGTGTGGGATGGTGGGGCCGAGAAACCACGGCCCAGTGGAGATGGGGATCGGGTAGACGAAGCTGGCAGGATGGGCCCCGGCCAGGTCTGTTGCTGGAGATTGGCCGGGGTTCCCCGAGCGCCTCCCCCGGCGCCCGCAGCGCCAGCTGCGTGGCCGCCGCTGGCCAGCAGCTCGCCCCTCCAACTGAAGTAGGAGCTGGCGTTCCGGAAAAACGCGAGAAACTTCTCCTCCCGCAGCTGGCCCCCGGGCTCTACCCCGAGTTCCCTGCACGCCCTCTGGACCGCGGCATCCGGTACGGATGCTCCAGAGCCGTGCTCCTTCTCGTACACGTCACGCACCAGCACGCTCGCCTCCTCCGAGCGGGCAGTTGGAACCACGTCCCCTCGCCATAGCCGCTCTGGCCTCCGTCGCCCTCCCGGGAGCAGCAAGGCAGTGAGCTTTGCACTACCTACCCCTCGCCCTTCGCACCCCCCCCTCTTCCTCGCCCAAAAGGAGGGCAAAGACGCCATAAATATATCACCTTTCGGAGGTCTGGGCGGATTCCGTGGACTTGCGCTGGACTCTCTTCCCTGTCGCACGGAGCGCGCCAAGGGCGGCTCCCGATGCGCCGCATGGGGGACCCAGAACCGATCCAAGAAATGGCGTTTCTTCCCATGTGTCTTTCCTCTTTCTTATTATTACGAGTGTGAATCGTCGCCGTGTGATATTCATTAGTACTGCTCTTATTCGTGGCATTGCTTTCATTATTCTCGTTACTAGTACTACTACCCGAAGTAGTAAGAATAAAGTAGTAGTAGTAGTAGTAGTAGTAGTAGTAGTAGTAGTAGTAGTAGTAGTAGTAGTAGTAGTGGAAGTAGTAATAGTAGTAGTAGTGGAAGTAGTAGTAGTAGTAGTAGTAGTAGTGGTGGTGGTGGTGGTGGTGGTGGTAGTAGTAGTCGTAGTAGTAGTAGTAGTAATAGTAGTAGTAGTAGTAGTTAGTAGTAGTAGTAGTAGTAGTATAGTAGTAGAGTAGATAGTATAATAATAACAGTAATAGTAATAGAAGTAGTAATCGTAAAGAGTAGTAGTAGTAGTAGTAGTAGTAGTAGCAGTAGTAGTAGTAGCAGTGGTAGTAATAGTAGTAGTAGTAGGTAGTAGTAGTATAGTAGTAGTAGTAGTAGTAGTAGAAGTAGTAGTAGTAGTAGTAGTAGTAATAGTAGTAGTAGTAAAAGTAGTCGTAAAGTAATAGAGTATAGTAGTAGTAGTAGTAGTAGTAGTAGCGGTAGTAGCCGTAGTATTAGTAGTCGTCGCAAGAGTAGTAGTAATATGCTACTTAGTGGTAATTCGCCGGCCCAACGGGCCAGGGCGTGCTAAGATCTCCGGTAACTGGTTAACAGTATTAACAGTATTTCTAGTTCGCGCGCGCGGGGCAGCCCCTGGTGGTCCCCGGCGAAAAGTACCCCGACCAACGCCCGGTCGCCGCCCGGTCGCCGCCCGACCGCCGCCCGACCGCCGCCCGACCAAGTCTACTCAGAGATGGTTTTCCTTCTGGGTGCGGCCTCTCAGGCTCCCCAGAGCGCGCTCAGAGTGCCCCAAGAGGCCCCCAAGACTGCCCAAGAGGCCCCCGAGACGCCCAAAGAGCGCTCGAAGACGCCGAAGATGACCCCAAGACGGCCCAAAAGGCCCCCAAGACAGCCCAAGAGGCCTCCAAGACGCCCCAAGAGCCTTCCAAGAGGCCTCCGAAGAGAGCCCCAAGAGGCCAAAATCGTTGATTTTCATTGGTTTTTTCGATGTTTTTTGTGTTCTGGCTTTTTCGGCTTCCGGACGCTCCAAGACGGCCCAAGAGGCCCCCAAGACCGCTCCAAGACGGCCCACGAAGCTCCCAAGACGGCGCCGAAACGACCCAAGAGAGCCCTCAAGACGGCCCAAGTGCCGCCCAAGACGGACCAAGAGGCCCCTAGACGGGCCCAAGAGGGACTCAGGAGGGATACCGAGAACTCAAAAATGGAGCCCTCCGTCCCAGAAGGCGCCCAGGAGGTCCCAAAGAGGCCCCAAGAGGCCTCCAAGAGGCCCCAAGATGTCGCCAAGAGGCCCCAGGAGACTCCCAGGAGGCCCAAAAGAAGCCCCAGAAGGCTTCAAACATGTCTCCCAGGCGCCCCCGAACGGCCTCTCAACAGACCCCAAGAGGCCCCCCAAAGAAGCATCTTGACGACGACTCTATTTCGCCCCATCGAGAGACGACCCCCAGGGAACTGCTTCACCATCAAAACTCCCCACGCAACGCGTCCGAACAACACCCGCCCCCAAGAGCGCAACATGGGCAACGAACACACAGACAAAAACCAGCGATGCCATATCACGGGCCGGCGGAATGAGCGAAGCGATTCAATAATGTTAGTTGGGTTAGTGGTATGGTCTTCTTTGTCTAGGCATTATTATTATTGTTATTATTACTCGTATTATTGCCACTGTTATTACTTGTCCTGTTCTTCCTCTTCTTCTTATCATTAATATTCGTGTTATTCGCATTCTTACCATTATTCCCAACCATCCTGAGGTGCTGGGTCCTCGTTTTGAAGAGACAACGCCCCGCGTTCCCACTCCTCCTCCTCCTCCTCCTCCTCCTCCTCCTCCTCCTCCCGCTGCCCCCTCCCTCCTCCTCATCATCCGTGAGCATCATCACCATCCATCAGCATCACCATCGTCGCCGTCCCACACCTCACTCCCACTACCCCCTCCTCCCTCCTCCCCATCCTTGCCTCTGCTCTCCGCATGTCCACCATTTCTGCACACCCCTCACACGGTTCGTGGCCCCATAGGGAGCTCCACCGAAGGCGCCGATGGTACAGGCCGCATGCGCCCGACGCCCATTTTGGCACACCCCGCACACGGTTCGCGGCCCTTGTTGTAGAGAGCTCCACCTGAGGCCCCAATGGCACAGGCCGCATGCGCCCGACGCCCATTTTGGCACACCATTCAGACGGTTCGCGGCCCCATGGGGAGCTCCACTGAAGGCGCCAGTAGCACAGGCCGCACGCGCCCGATGCAATCTTTTGGCACACCCATCACACGGCTCGTGGCCCCATGGGGAGCTCCACTGAAGGCTCCAATGACACAGGCCGCATGCGCCCGACGCCCAGTTTGGCACACCCCTCACACGGCTCGTGGCCCCATAGGGAGATCCACCGAAGGCCCCAGTGACACAGGCCGCATGCGCCCGACGCTCATTTTGGCACACCCCTCACACGGTTCGCGGCCCCATAGGGAGTTCCACCGAAGGCCTCAGTGGCACAGGCCGCATGCGCCCGACGCCCACTTTGGCACACGCATCACACGGTTCTTGGCCCAACCAAGAGCTCCACCGAAAGGACTACCCAGAACGCGGTGTTCACAACTGCGCATGGATGGGCTCTTCGCCCGGATAATTACTGTTCGTGTTGTTTGTATGATTCGCATTCTTACTGTCAGTATGCTTAACCTCTTCTGCTTAATATTATTCGTATGATTATGATTAGTATTCGTGATACTATGTTATGTGTCTTAGTGTCATGATTCGTCTTATCGTTGTTACTGTTGCTGCGTTATCATCATTGCTATTGTTATTCGTATGATAATCACTACTAATCGGAGGTTGGGGGGTGAGATCGCAGCGGGACGGAGACCCCCAACCGGGAAATCGTGTTGTTTCGTTCGTGTCGTGCGTGCGGGCGAGGTAAAGCTGCGTGGGCGCGCAGGAGGAATGAACCCGCCGCTGCTAGGGCGAAGTCAAAATAAATGATTCCCGCCCACCCGTCCGGTGGTGGCTCACGGTGTCCCGCGGTGTCCCGCGGTGTCCCGTGGTGTCTCGTGGTGTCCCGTGGTGTCCCACAGTTGCTAAGGCGAAATCAAAACAAAAGATTATCACCCGCCCGCCCGTCCGGCGGTGGCTCGCGGTGTCCGGCGGTTTCCCGTGGTGTCCCGCTGTTGTTAGGGCGATCCAAAATAAATATTTCTCCCCCAGCCCGCCCGTCCGTCCGTCCGTCCGGTGGTGGCTCGCGGTGTCCCGCGGTGTCCCGTGGTGTCCCGTGGTGTCCCGTGTTGAGTGAGATCGATAGTGAGATCGATAAAGAGATCGACAGGTGTCCCGTGGTGCCCCGTGGTGTCCAATTTAGTGAGATCGATAATGAGATCGACAGGTGTCCCGTGGTGTCCCGTGGTGTCCCGTGGTATGCCGTGGTGTGCCGTTGAGGGTGAGATCGATAGTGATATCGATCGTGATATCGATAGTGAGATCAATAATGAGATCGACAGGTGTCCCGTGGTGTCCCGTTGAGAGTGAGATCGATCGTGAGATCAATAGCGAAATTGATAGTGAGATCGACAGGTGTCCCGTGGTGTCCCGTGGTATCCCTTTGAGTGAGATTGATGGTGAGATCGATCGTGAGATCGATAGTGATCGATATTGAAATCGATGGTGCGATCGATAGTGAAATCGATAGTGAGATCAGTGGGATCGACAGCGAGAACGATATTGCGATCGATATTGAAATCGATAAAGCAATCGATTGAGTCAGACGTTTGTTCCCCCCCCACACGAACTCCTTACCGCCCGAAGGGTGGTCGTATAGGCATTAGTAGTATTAATCAGAATCGTATTAGTGTGATTATTATTGGAATGGGTATTTCTTATTACCATCGTTGGCAATCTTATTAATAATGTTAATTTTCCTAGTATCAGTCGCATTTTGACTGTGATTAGTCGTATCAATTATTATAGATAGAACAAAAGGATTACT